GTCTATTGCCCCACCACAGTTAGGGAATCCCATTGCAGCAAAGCCATCCACTATGGCCTGCACGTTTCCCAGAGTCACTACCCTTGATATCACCAGGTCTGATTGCCCTGGCAACTTGGATCACAGCAGCCCCCACAGTAGATTTGCCCACTCCAAATTGATTCCCGACTGACCGGTAGCTATCTGGCGTTGCAAGCTTCCACAGGGCTATCGCCTCTTGCTTCTCAACTGTGAGGGCTGCTCTCATCCTGGTATTCTGGTGATTCAGGGCAGGGGAAAGCAAGTCACAAAGTTCCATGAAAGTGCCCTTACGCATGTGAAAGTTTCGCAGCCACTGGGAATCATCCCAGACCTGCAACACGATGCGGTCCCACCAGTCTGTGCTTGTTTCCCGGGCCCAGAATCGGCGTTCCACGGCATGAACCTGCCCCAGTAACACCATGATTTCCACATTGCTGGGGCCTGTGCCTTGTGAGAGGTCTATGTCCATGTCAATTTCCTCATCACTCTCATCGCCGCGCTGCAATCGCCTCCTCGGCTGGTCCTGGTTTTGCTTTGGCATGTCCTGGCTCTGCAAATACTCCAGGACAATGCACGTGGTGTTCATAGTGCTCATAATTGCTACGGTGAGCTGAGCGCGCTCCATGATCCCAGTGCTATGGTGTCTGGGCTGAAAAAAGGCGCGAAACTAGTATCTGACGGATGGAGGGAGGGAGGGAGGGGCGAGTGATGACATGGCGTACAGGTACAGGGAATTAAAATCAACAAAGGTGGCTATGCATCAGGGAGAAACACAAACAACTGTCACACAGAATGGCCCCCCCAAAGACTGAACTCAAAACCCTGGGTTTAGCAGGCCATTGATTTCACGGAGGGAGGGGGAAGCAAATGAATACAGAACAAATCTATTTTGTACATCTTAAGCTGGCAGACAACGGTGCAGCATGACTGATAACCCTTGGCATCTTCTGGGTGTTTGGCAGAAAATACTGGGCGCTTGGCAGAAAATAGCATACTACAACTGATAGCCATCATCGTCGAGACTGCCCAGGTGCCCATGATTGACAACCACTGCAATACAACGATGACGGATATCAATCATAATATACCATCTTCTACCCAAAGGCAAGGGGCTGCTGCTGCGTGCAATGCAGCCCCACGGCTGCCAGCACCCAGATCGTCGATGAAGGCTACCAGTCATACTGCACCGTCCACTGCCAAAAGGCAATTAGCTGCTGCTGTGTAGCAATGCAGTACCACGTGTGCCTGCACCCAGATGACATATGGTGATGGTGAGCTGAGCTGAGCTGAGCAGGCTCCATGCTTGGCATGGTATGTTGTCTGCACAGGTAACCCAGGTAAAAAGGCGCGAATCGATTGTCTGCCGTTGCTCTGACGGAGGGGGAGGTGCCTGACGGCATGTACCCAGAACCCCCTGCGACACTGTTTTGCATCATTCAGGCATTGGGATCTCAACCCAGAATTCCAATGGGCGGTGGAGACTGCGGGAACTGTGGGATAGCTACCCACAGTGCAACGCTCCGGAAGTCGACGCTAGCCTCGGTACTGTGAACGCAGTCCGCCGACTTCATGCACTTAGAGCATTTTATGTGGGGACACACACAATCGGCTGTATACAACCGATTTCTATAAAACTGGCTTCTATAAATTCGACCTAATTTCGTAGTGTAGACATACCCTTAGTATTGTTAAAACAGGTATTAGGATTATAAGAATGTGTTTCGACTTCATTGAATGCTCGTGAGTTGCTGCCTGGGTTAATATCTGACTAGTTGCATTGTAAGCCTCTGTGGCTATGTAAATCACCAGAAAGGAGAGAGACTTTACCTAGGTGAAGTGCAGATTGGCAACATAATGCATTACACCCTGTCTGGCAGGAAAGGTCCATCAACACCAGACAGACTATTATGGGATGTTAAAGAAGACAAGACTGTCCTTGTGCTCTTGACTTCTCATTAGCTGAGTTTGCAGTTCAGAGCACATGGCAGGAAGGGGATAAAAAAAAACCCATACAGAAGGAACTGATTATCTGTATGTTGCTTGGACTCTGGGGGGCAAAGTTTCTAGGCATAAGCAAGAGATCCCCAGCTGATTAGCCTGGGTTAGTCCTAAGGAAGATATAGAGCTTGCTTATTACAGAAGCTTGTATTACCTTTTGAAAGTTAAGACTGTAACTTGTCTGCATCTATATGATTACCTGCTTTAACTTTGTA